ACTTTTGGGCAGCCTCCTGAATCTCTCGTTGTTCTTGTGCCTTCTGCGCTTTTTCCTTTCTCAGTGCATCCTGTTGTTGACTCATTGTGTTGAGCTCCATCAACCTTTGGGTGGCCTTTGTCAGCCTCTTGACAGCTTCATCGACTGTTCGCTCATGTGCACTCTTTTCTTCTGCAGTCTGAAAATTTGATTTTTCATCTAGCAACTTTTTGAGTCCAGCTTCCTCGATGCTCACTGCTTCTGTAGTCCGAGTGATGGCTTTTGATAGGTCTTCGAAGCTTGTCGGCGATGTTGTACTCTCGACACACTCATCATTTTCAAATTCATCTTCTTCTTCCTCTTCTTCATAGAAGATGTCATCCTCATCATCATCATCCTCCGTTGGCTCTGTCACTTTCTGCTGGGACTCCTCTGGTTGAGACTCCTCAGGTGTAGTCTTTTTGGACTCTTCAACAACCTACGCAAAAAATTACAAGAGTTGGATACACCCCATTGTTTCAGTTCCATGTGCAAATAACTGAAGCCTTCTGCACAGGCTTCCGGATTGATCGGCTGCGCTTCGATACCCCCGCGTCCTGTAACAAAATGTGCACGATCTATCGGAAAAAAACACAACAAGTGGAGTCCTCGAAGACTGCGGAAATCAATTGTTTGAGCTTTCCCATGGGACTGTCGGTCCGCCTTGCAGAGGACTCTAGTAAAAGAAAACATTTCTTTGTGTTGAGCCAGTTGTTGCCTGGCTTTCTTTGCTCTGCGGTAATGTGTCAACACTTTAGCTGCCAGCATCCTGTGAAGATTACCTTCTTTCAGGGCCCACTCCTCGCAAAAAAACAAACGACATAGATACAATCCATATTGTATTGGAAAATACATGTGCTGACTCAGCCATCCTCCACGGCAAGCGTAAGAGTTTTGTCGTAAACCAAATTGTGTTCCAGGGCAATGTCTTGCAGAACTTCCTGCCAGAAAAACAATAACAAAGAACCCACATAAAACACTGAACCTTGCATTCGCGTTCTGTAGGTTGGTTGAGCGCGAAGAGCGGTAGCCAGTTCATCAGGAAGTCCACATTGTTGGTCGATTGAACCTGTGCGTGTAGAACACTAATCCCTATTTACATAGATAGATGACACCATTCCAGGGCGCACGGTGTCCTCGTCCATGCCCTTCTTCGGGTGAAGGTCAATAAAGGAAAATATGCATGGCACCTGGCTGATAATAGTTGGTGAGAGTGGTCTAAGTGTGACTTCAATTAGCCAAAGACACCTTGGATTCCTGCATGTATCTTTCAAATTTACTCTGTGATATCTCTTGCTTTTTGGCAATGTCCCGGAGACGCCGCCAGCGGTAGTCTTCTGTAGTGATTTGCGTGTAGAACGCCTGGCAAAGATTGTGATAGAAACAAGTACTTGGACCCATAGCAACAACTCCCACCACCATCCCCACCTTCAATAGCTGCATGCGCTCCGCAGATGGCTTCACCGTCGGCATCGTCCACACCGACACCGAAAGCGGAAAACGCCCGTGAAAAAAAGAAACGCCCGTGGGTGGTGGTAAACTCCTGGTTGGTGGGAACCAGGTAGTTCAGAGCAAAGCAAAATGGCTTTGGCATACTAAGACATTCCAAAAGCGAGTGCGTTTGTTGGTTGAACATCTTCCATATTACACAGCGGTACGAGTGGTGGCACCTGCTGAGACCTCCTGAATCTCCAACTTCCCTGGGCGGTATCCAGAGAACATTAGAGTTCAATACTTGTCAAAGTGATGTGCTGAGTCCCGTGCTCTTTCGTAGAGCACGCTTCATCACATCAGTGATTGTGCCCCAAAGCCACCATGGCAAAGTGACATCTTAGAGATAAGATCATTAAAAGTCATTATTTTCTACATAAATCATTCATGGATCCCAACATATTTGTGACGATGTTCACAAAAGTTATGTTTCTTCATCTCAACATCAATTTGAGCCATTCACGCTCGGTTAAACTTGAGCATAGCAGAACGTCGAAGTTTACCTGGTTAAACTTGTGCATTGATAACGTCTATGTTAAACTTAGCCATAGAAGCCTAGGGTATATATATATATTGTTATTTTTAGCTTGACGGGATGGAACAACCAAATAAACCCTTCAGTTGCGCTAGTATCTTCTTCATGGTCCTTTTTGTACTTCACTTCGCCCTACTGGCCGCCCTGCCTGTCACATCGACTCTGGCCGCCCTGCCAGCTGATCAAACAAGTCTCTCCTGGCTGCCAGTTACCATCTCTGTGTCTCTCTCTCTCTCTAACTGACCTCCATCGGCTTGTTTCAAACCATGTTTGATTGTCAATTAGGGCACATGTCCGGGTTAGCCACTTCTATGCCATCCTGCATAAATTCGTTCCGTAAATCTCCTGCAGTCCGATACTTCAGCGTAGTATTCGGCAGGTTCCTGGGCGGGACTCGCATCTCCAAGGTGAAAAACAACAGGCTTCGTTTACCCGGCATTAACTACGCGCACTGTGGCTGGCTGACCGCGTCAGCTTGCTGCTTCAACAACACCAGAAGAGGCTTCGATTCAAACATGCGAAGCCTGCAAAGCCTCAAAAGGCCCCGCAACAATTATGATTCAATCATGCAACGCACATTGACCCAAACTGGCGCAACTTGCAAGCAAACCCGGGCACATGCACAAGCACCCCACCCATGTGTCCAACTGTTCATCTAGCAAGCAGTAACAGTAAGTATAGGACTAAAGGGCTCACAGGGTGGTGCATTGGTCAGTAAAAGCATGCGGAATCCTGTTTGACTCAAGTATTGGCACGCACCACGGTGAAGATGGTTCCGTGGACATCACTGAGACATCCCCAACGCTAACACATAGGTTTTCCATCCCTGTGTCCTCCGACTAAGCTGTTTGCCCCGAACAGTTTCCAGCGCCCTGCTCATTGGCAGTTGGGTAATCATAAAATGCAGGATCTCTAGCTTGGGGCGGAGTTCCTTTGAACAATGCCTAATTGCTCACTTGCCTTCAGTTGTTGAGCTGCTGCTTTAACCCCTTCATGTCTGCATGTCGGGGAATATTCCCCAACAGGCTGAAATTAGAAACTGGTGACATATACACCTAAAACTTCAATACGGGGTCGGGGCATGCTGCATGCTACATAAATGGGAAAGATCAAACCCATCAAAGGCTGATGCTGTGGGTTGGCAAGCGCTGAAACATGTGCAGCATGGCTTTTTCCTCCATAGATACATCACGTCTATATCATTGGCAGGAATCTGCGCCAATTTGGTCATTAAAATGATGTGTTCGAGACGGTTTGAGATATTCTTCGATGCCTTCTCATTGCAACATGTGGCAACAAGACCCCGAAAGGATCCGAGGCTCGGGGCAGGGCTTTGGTTTGAAGAACTGTGTTCTTTTGTTCCGCTGGCCCCATCAGTTAGTAGCAGAAACAATCCTCCAAACAAATTGAACTGCCTCTGGGTTCGGTTGTGAGGTGTGGCAAAAGGGCCGTCAAAAGTGGAGGGCAAAAGGGCGTCACATGTGATGCTTGCGAAATCATAGCTGTGAGCACTGGCAGGGCTCCCATATTTTTTGCGCCAGAATGTGTACCCCTGGCGCCGTCTGGCGCCGCCTTACTCCGCCTTGCGCCTTGTATGGAATGATTGAAATGAGGGCTTCCGCTCAACAGGCCGAAGATGCCGATGGGAAAAAAGGGGCGGAGGTGAGGAGCAAAGGCGGTGAGGCGGTGAGGAGGTGAGGTGAGGTGAGGAGCTTCTTGTTCCTAGTAGTAAGGCCAGGAGCCCCAGGGAGCTTCTTGTTCCTATAGTGATAGTAGCGATGCCCTTTGTTACTAGTAGCTTCTTCTTACTAGTCGTAAGTGTTGCAGGATTCGCATGTCATTGGTGATTGGTTCTCGGGGCTGCGGGTTCACATCCATTCCCAGAAGCGCTGCGGGCTCATGTGCTGCAGTGGCTCCCCAAGGACCCTCGGACTGTGACCCGACAAAGGTGAACAATGGCCGCTGGAAAGCAATTATTGAGATCTTCCTTCATCATTCCCTTTGAGGGCATATTGGCACATTGGATCGGAGATAATGACAAAGGCCCAACCTGAAACAAACATTGAACAAAACGAAGCCGAACACCCCTGGCTTTAGACCTGCACTTGGGTCTCGGACCTCGCTCTACAATCCGGTGTGATGAGCTCTCTCTCTCTCTCTCGATTCATCCATGGCGCAAATCCATCATTTGTGAGATGGATCTGCAGCAACCACTAAACATCAGGGTGCCGACTTTTGCACAAAATGAGGCGACAACAGTTGGTTAAGCCCCTGGAAGCCGACAATAAAGAGAGTCGAATACCAAGTCTTTCTGAGTCACAGGTCAAACTAGAGCGTCAGGGTAAAGCACCTATTTCACCTCAACAGGTTTTTGAAGGCCTTTCACCATGTTTTCACGGGCTTTTCGCGTATAGGCTCATCGCCATTTCATTGTTTTTTGCAGCCTTTTCAAGCTTCCACCAGTTGAACTGGTGCGTTGCTAAAGCACCGGTTAAACTGGTGCGTTAACCCACTGGGTTACATCGTCTTAAATGAACATCAGCATAGACCCTGCACCAACTCCTCAGGAAAGCTTTTCTCACGAACTCTTGACTACTCCATTGTTGAGATGCACGTGTTGCTCACTTGGAGGCGGTGCCCATCCGCACAGGTGCCACAGCTGGAGGTTATGACCTCAGCAGTCACGCGCACGCATTTCGGTAAGCGGCCTAGAAGCACCAAACAAGTTCTAATATGTTCTAATTACGTGGGATCTTCTTGGAACATTTTGGAACCGGGTTCAACTGGCCCAAAATGGAACGTTCACCAAGTCAAATCTACAACAGGGCGGGTCACTGAAAACATGTTGCTTTAGAGACAATGTAGCTGCATCATAGCCCCGACGAGCATAGAAACTGAGAGACCGCCCTGCCCTGCCGTCCCCAGCTTCCAAACACAGCAGGCATGTCCTTACAGTCCACCTCATGAGCCATGAAGAGGTGTTGGATAGACAACTCAAAGTTTAAGGCCTGTCTTGGCAGGCATCTTCAAGATGACTTTGGCCAATCCCATTGGTCAACTGCTTGGCATGGCAAGACGGCAAGACAGTTTGCATTCAAGCCTGGCTCGAAAGAGATGGCAAAAACACACAAACACCACCACCACCAACAACAGCAGCAGCACAAACAACAACAAGAACAAGAACAGCGCCTCCCTCGTCCAGTCACCCAGCCCGCCCTCTCCACCTCCGCAGCGAACACTTCCTGGCGCCGGACGCCCAGCCCGTGAGCATAGATCCTCACTGGCTCAGACGCTGCCGGTTCCGGCCTGGCAGCGCGGTTCGGGCTTGGCGGCTTGGTTCGGTATGCGTGCGATTTCCTGTGGTCCCCAAATAGATTCTCTAGCTATAGCACTGTAGAAAAGTAGAGGTAGTATCCACGTTGAGAATGTATTGGAAAGCATGCCACTATCAATTATTGGGGACCACTATATGTCAAATCAAGATCTGAAGATCAGCATGCGTCACATCACTGATCTATGATCTATGGAGTTTGCATTCCATGGAACTTGGTTTCACGGTATGAAGAAGATCACGAAGCTGCTGGTCTCTCTGACATGGCACTCTGGTGCTTTTGTGACGTACGAACAATGCATCAACTATCAGATCAACTCCTGTGCTTCCAATTTCTGAGGCAAACCTCACTCCCGGCTGCACTCGCTGCACTCGTCTTCCCCCAAGAAGGCTCCAAACATCCCCAAACCACAGTCGAGGACCGTTCGGCACCTCTGTAGGTAGATCACCTGGTCGTGTGCCACGAATCGGGCCCAAGGAAGACCAAGCACTGCGTTACCGTTGTGGTGCCCGACATGTTTGTGGGCCCGTCCGGCAGAATTCCAGCTGGACCGGCTGTACACAGGCCCTGGCCATGATGGTTTGGATGCTTTCTGTCACCCAAAAGACACATCCTTTTGGGAAAAACCGCAACCGAAGCTCTGACCTCATGGACAGAATGCGACCACCATCACAAACCCAAACAATAGGTTAGTCAAAGTGTAGCGACTTAAGCAATTGCAGCAACTGGCCTGCTGCCTTGTGACATACCCCATTCAGGGCATCCATTAATCATTAAACAGCCCAGCTCAGTTGTCGGCCAAACCAACGCTAACAGCACACACACGGAGAAGAAACAATCAGATCAATCAGCAAATTTGCACCCTGCAAACCTATTCCATCCCTACATGACTCTTGGGTTGAAAGCAACCAAATGTGAGAGTATGAACAATCTCAATCCTGTCCACCCGCCCTAATTAGGGCGAATTCGTGTGTTGCCTCTGTCGTTCCCTCTTGTTCCCTCTCGCGGCTCTTTTCGCTCGTGTTCTCTCTCGGGCCCGTCCGCAGCACAATCAACGCCGCCGAGGTCACCTGGCATGCGTTGATCGTCTGGCACGGTGAGTTCCGCGGCTGGGATCGATGCGTCAACTGGTCCAAAGTTGGTCTAAACATGTCTAAACAACGAGATGGATCATATCATATAATATGAAGATAATGACACTAACTAAAGTCCAGGACAGTTTCCCCCGTGAAGCTTCGCACCTCTCAAAAGGGAGACGGCGAGATGACGTTGGTGCGAGACTTACGTGCCCGGAGACCGCGGTGGCACCGTGGTCTGAACGGACATGTGAAGGGCAATCCTGTGAAGGACATCCATTGTCCGACGGTTTTTGGACGTTGGCGACTCGAGGCAGTTCGCCAGGGCGGGCCAGAAACACGCTATACTATAAGTTTTCTGTTGAACACTGGAAGGCACGTACCGATCATTCGTCCACCTTTCAACATCTCTGATTTTGCTGGCGTCAAACGGCGTACCATCTCCACCGGCGCACCAACCACACCGCGTGGATCGTTCGTGAGCCGTCTGCCGTCTCAAAACTCTCGGAGACCCAAAGACCCAAGCGGCGGCCAAGCTGCCACTGCTTGAAGAACCAGAAGGCCAACCCGAAAGAGAACAGCCTGCATCCTTTTAATTTGGCCGTCTTGAATGACCCTCGTGGACCATCACAGTATAGAGATCCACGTACAACGAAGAGTGTGTTTGTCTCGCACTCTCACTCTCTTTGGACCAGGGGGCTCTTGATAAAATAAAAAAAGCAAACTTCACTCAGAGTTCTCCCTATCTTACCCTATCTTTGACTCAACTGACTCACCCCGACTCCCCTACTAACTCGCCTTGGCCATCGGAAAAAAAAAGAAAACAAACAAATCGAAGTGAAAGTCGAGCGGCCTGTAGCCGGAAGTGGGCGATCGGCTCTCCCCAGGCTTCCGGTTCGCATTGAACTTCACCTTGATCTGCCAGTGATCTTCATTTCAGTGATTCAATCTGTGAATCATGCGCTTTTCACTTTCCCGGAAAAAACTTGTTCTGACTGTTTCCGAACATCCTGAGGCATGAAACCCCTTTTGATGGTCATGCACACCTTGGCGCAGGAGGTCCCTGGAGCTCCTACACCGATCTTGAAGACCTTTGGCGATTTTATATGGCCCTGTCGACCTTCCATGGGCCATCGATACAAATTGTGAGTGTTCACAAATCACCTACAGTATCCTATACTATGTACACTACTATGCACATGCATGCACCTACACAATCCCAACGGATTGAGTGTTCGAGGCCCGTTGTCAACTGAAGCGACAATTTTGGTCCGAATCAAAACAGGATAGCACAAAGGTGCAGCATGGATGCCATCGATGGGGATACAATGGGAGACATGTAATTTAGCTACCTTGGGAGTGGTGTGCCATCTACATTTACATCCATCTACCCTTAAACAACTCCAAAATCTGGTTTCGCTTTCAAACAGAGCCCGCTCTCATATGTATGCTCTCATTGTGTGATATTGTGTGCTCGCACCTGTGCTTTCATGTGCGCTCTGAAAAGTGTGTTCTTGCAGGTGTGCTCCTTTATGTGTGCTCTCATGTGTGTGTGTGCTCTCATGCACAAGCGTTTGCTCTCATATGTGTGCTCTCTTTATGTTTGCCGTCATATATGTGTTCATATGAATGTATTTGTTCTCATATGTGTGCTCTCAAGTGCTTACTCAACTGTGTGGGTGCTCTCATGTGTGCTCTCACAAGTATGCTCTCTGATGTGTGCTCTCACGTGTGCTCTCATATGCGTGCATGCTCACTTGCTCGCTCATACCCGTGCTCTCATATGTGTGCTTTCATGTATATTATTCACCCTTGTCTTCTTCTACTCAACACTATTTGGGGTCTTCTGCCGGGATAATTTATTGTTTAAAGTCACCTTGAAAATCTCTGGAGTGCAATTTGTGACACCAGCCCAGAACGGTTTCGGATTGAGGTTTTAGTCGATCAAACAGGATAGGTCCATGTTGGTAGGTGCTCCAAGCACCAGTGGCGGCACCAGTGGTGCTGTGGTTCATTATGATTCTAAGCATGGTCAGGCATTTTCTCAGCTGTGAGCAGCGGTGCTAGCCAAGTGGCATTGGGCTTGCTCTTTCGTTTTATCCGCTGGCCAGTGGCGAGAAAGTGCCAACATGCAGAAAAATCTTCCCTGGGCGCGATCGGCAATGGATGTCTAGAGACACGATGAGTTGGGGTGACGTCTAGAGACGCGATGAGTGGAGGCCAATCCAATCTAGGACATGATGTTCATGAACAACACCGTGAACCAACGTAGATTTGCCAGCGGTTCCCCAATCCAATGCAACCCACGAAAATAGGAAATTCCGATGGGTCCAGAAACCATCATAATTCCTATCTATCAATTTGTTTCGCTCGGTTGTCCACTAGCTTCCTGCCCATGGGGCTTTGGACGTCTCTTTTGTCTGCTGGGATAAATCAGTCCCACCAAGAACTTCCTGGGAAGAGTCTGTTGCACCCAGCGATGCAACAACAGCCAGGACGAGAGGATCGGTTCATGCAACAATCAAAGGGTGTCTGACCCACTTCCAGGATCCAACTGTCCCTTGATGTTCCTTGAAATCCCACAAATTCAACAAAAGAGACCCTCACCCGCTGAAGTTAACTTCTGGCGTCCGCCCTGGGCGCTGAGACTGACCTGAATATATATATATATGGCACATGTACCAGCAAAGCCATATGATCCCATGCCAACTGTTATAAGAATGGATGGTATGTTTCCATCACATCACCTATATAATAAAATATACAGTATAGTCTTGTTCTAGCCTGATCAATTTGCAACAGCTCCCGGTGTTTCACCAGGTACCTCTTTTGGGTGCTTTTGAGAGGTGTGCCTGAATACGAGGACTTGTTTTGATGACAGACCCATCCAAACAAGGTGTGCCTACTATGCTACTTCACTGTACTTCTACAATGTTGCATTATGCTGCATCATGTAGACTGGAGCCCAAATGGAGACGGTTCATGGGGAGGAACCGTGGCCCACGGATGCCTGCGGCTTGGCTGATGGCATCTGCGTTGAACCCCTCGTCAGACTTGCGTGCGTCAGCTGCGTCAGCTGCGCTGCCTCCTACAGCATCCCCAAGAGGTCTCCCACAAGCTTTCTCTATGCGCGTGAGTCCACCCCTCTGAATCACCAAGCTTCGAAAACTTCTTCCACCAGCCTCAACCGTTGGCCAGAACATGGAGGCTAAATGTAGTCATGTCATGTTACGCAAGCTTATGCCCTCCTGTCTGGACACATGTCACCTCAACGTGCAAAAAACGGTGAACTGTGACAACAGCTGCTTTCACGTCACACCGCACCTGACAACGTCTCCACTGGGCTCAAGACCCACCAACCAGGGTAACCAAATCAAATCCAGTGGAACATGGGAAAACATCAACTACAGCACACGGCCACATCAAACGAGAAGGACGGATGCACATGGCAATGATCTTCCAAGTCTAGGGAGTCTTCCAAGAACCTAACTTTTGCAGTAACTTGCCTCAAAACAACCCTGTTTACTTAGTGGACGCTCCTCAACTGGACGCTCCTCAACTACTCTTCATGTCTCTACAAGTGGGCCTGCACATGCAGGAGGGGCAAAACATGACAAAAACATGACATAAACTATTCGACTCTTCTAACATTCCAGACTCAAGCAGGGGTGCCATCACACATTTATATATATATATATACATACATTTATCACATATTATCATATATGGTTGGACAAGCGCAGCACA